AGTTGTCACAAATTGGCCGCCGCTTTTATGTCGCCTCTAAGTCTCCTTACTGCATGTGTCCTGTAAGTAGCCACCTTTTATGCAGAGCAGAAATTAGGCCCGTTGCACTGTCTGCATTGTGCGGCATAATATGGCTGCTGTAATTGAAATGTACATGGACATGTATACGAAACTCTGTAAAATTATTGATTTGTTATCGTTTACACTACAGTTTAGAGCATTTTACAGACAGTATTCAAACAGGTAATGTTTATTTGTAGGCGGCTGAAGAAAGATAAGATTAACGGATCAGCCTTAACCTCATGAAGCTTCAGCACATCATTAACATTTTAAAGGTTTTAATTTTTCAGCATCTTTCTAGGTAACAGATACTACATTCATTTTTCAAAAACACGCTCTTCACAACAGTAACTTCTGATCACAAGGCAAATTTCAAGGCATTCAAAGCACTATGGGCTACTTCGATGGGCTCTGCACACCCAAATTAGCCAGTTCATGTACGATATGCAAATGTATCACAGTGACTTGTTGGGCTTTACAGGCAAATAACAAATGTATGCAGCCTTACAGACTATAAAAGAAGGAACAATCATAACTTCACAACTAACTAACAATACATGCGACAGTCATTAACTATTGCGAAAGATCAGGAATGTAATAAACAACATCAGCACACACTACCCAGAGCTGCTGAAGAACGCGTGCGTGCTAAAAAAATTACATATTGCAGTAAGTTAGGAATGTGACAAACACAACATCAGAGCACTAGCAGAGATGTTTGGTTGGCACAGACCGCTCTACCTAACCTGCACTATTGGAAGCAAGACTACAGCCCACAACCAGTATACTGTTCACGTAACCCTTGACTGCAGAACTGAAGGCCACAGAATTAGTTCTGGATATGGCCGTGATTTCGATCAAAGAAGAAATGGTTGAGACTTGTCTGCTTAGACATAAGTGTATCTAAAGAACTTCAGGTTTTGGGTGTATTTTTAAAAAAAAACCAGGTGGTCAAAATTTCTGAAGCCCTTCACTGCCGCGTCCCTGATAATTAAAGACCGGAACTTCAGGCAATATGCCTATTTTTTCTGGTGTCCGTTTCAAGCCTCTTTCACATATAAACATGAACTAAGGGATGGGAAACATTTTAATCACATATATATTTTGCCTATAGGTGCCTGATTCGAGCTTCGTGCCTATATGAGCTTTTCAGTGCCTAAAAATTCTTTTTCATGTTCTTCGTGTAAACTTCATGCTTAAATGAGCTCTTCATAAGAAGGAAAACATGAAGCACTTGATGTGCTATATTGACGACAACACATGCATAGAGCGCTAGTTTTTTTTCGTTTATGTTTTTTAACTACCGGTAAAGTGCGATTATGGTTTGACGTAGGGTCGACGCGCGCATACACTATGTTATATTAGCGAAAACAGATCATAAGTCGACGCACTGCCACAACCAACGTATATCTAGACTCGGCCAATGTGCTCTGACGCTCAGATATCTGAGCGTTTGCCAACGCTAAGATATATATATATATATATATATATATATATATATATATATATATATATATATATATATATATATATATATATATATATATATATATATATATATATATATATATATATATATATATATATATATATATTATCACACTTTAAACGTGCATCTACGTGAGCGGGGCTTGTACCCCAGTGAGGAAGAGCGAGGCTAGCACCTATTGCGCTAGCAGGCCCCCCTAAAAGATTTCCGTCGCTTGGTTTGAGAGTAGTGCGGCACGGCTGCTTGAGCGTGGCTAGAGTGTACTGTATAGCGAAGCGAGGAGAGGCTAACGCTATCCACTGTTTCTTAAAAATCCCAGTCGCTATAGGTGCCAGAGTACTGCACGTCGGCAGTTGCGTTTGGGAGGCTATAGAGTGCAGTGTACCTAGAACGTACACTAATCAGCCGAAACTAAGCTAGCCAAGCGCTGCCAACTACAGCCTACACATGAGTAGCCGCACGCTTATTGTGGTATGAATCGTAGCTCTTAAATCGCAATCATAAAGCCGTTTGTTAAATCACTTACATTGTTTTTTTTTTTCAGGATGCGTTTGTCCTTTATAAAGCATAATGCCTTTACGTGGGTTCACGGTGAACGATTAGTGGTTAGTTAGCCCCAACGCAATTTCATAAAGCAGTTTAACTATCCTGCATTTCACCATCTACTGCAGACAGCAAGAATTGCAACTAATTAGGCATACTAGTTCTGACGTGTTAATTACGTCATCATGTTTTTTTCTTCGATAGTGGTCTCTCTACTGGAAACATAATGAAAACTTATTTACACGATGTTTATTGGATTTCATGAATCTAAGAACGATGCAAAGAAATTGTAGACTTCCTTATTATTAGATAGTTCTGAACTTGAATTTCGTGGTGACTTGGCATTCTTTTCGGTGGTTTTGTTCCGGGTGAGTTTAGAGCTTAATAGCAACAACGTCCTAAGGCTCATAAAGAAGTTTATGCTCTGGCCTCTATCCGTAAATACTGCGACGTGTGCAAAAGCACCATCAAATAGAAAGAGACATGTGACCTCTGAAACCAAACTCACTCTTTCCAATTGTGTAGGAAACGTGTCAAAACACAGCACAGTTGTGAGATTCGCTGCTGTTTAAGCGTACAAAGGACAACAAAGGTACGCAGGACCGCCATACACCATACATATCTCAACTAACTACACAAAGCGCGGATTCTCTTTTTGCTGAACTTCTGGTGAAGTTTTGTGCTTTTTGGTATTTGGAACAGTTAGACTGCCTTACGAATCAAATACCGCGTTATTTGAATGTATCAGTCAAAGTTTCAATTATTCCCACATTTGTAAGAGTTCTTTGTCTGTAAAATCACAAGCGACTAATTTTCACAGGCGCATCAACGAGCATTACGAAAAGAAGTCTGGGTTTTACTCTGGGCGGAACCTGCAAATGGTTACCCATGATTGTAAACGTCGCGCAGGTAAAGCCATGAATTCATATTCAGTGCTGCGCTTGAACCATACCATAATGTGCTAACAACTAGAATTTCGAATGTCCGAGACAAGCCTAAGTGCGTAATGGAGTCAATCTTGCCTGAAACTTTGCGATCACGCAATATGGACCTTAAGTGCGGTGCTCTTGAAAAAATAAAAGAAAGTGTATTAAAAGAGAACAAAATCGACGAATATGATTTTGACCTAATAGCCACTAAAAAGAATGAGCTGCCGAGACAGAGACGCATTGCACGAAATCCAAGTCATGCAGCTGAATCCTGATCATAGCACGTTCACAAACTTGCAATCATGCCTTTTAACTTCTTGATAAACAATAAACTACAACTACGATTGATAATTATATAATCAGCAATTATCGACTTCACCGTTATGTTTTTGTGTTTCCTCTCAGTTTCGCCCACGAGGCTACGATTACAACAACTTCTTAAAGCCGCTTGTATAGATATGTATATGGCAAAAGAGAGCTGTCTAGCATTGGTTCGACTTTCCGAAATGATGTTTTGTTGAAGTAAAAAGAAGTGAAATGACGTTTAGCAACAATTTTTTTTTACTTTTTCTAAATGTCCTGGGTGGGGGGGGGGGGGGGGGCATATAAGATTGACGCATTGCAATCTGCGCAAGTTTTAGAAACAACTGCTCTCGCAAAAAAGAAGAAAAAAAAGAGCTCAATGCGAATGAGAACCATCTGTGCAGTCGAACTCAAGAGCAAACCAACACTTACTGAACAGAAGCAAATGAGGACATTTCACTTCGGCGTGGGCGGTGAAGCGCAGTAGTTGATGGCTGAGCCGTCACCACCCACACCACAACGCCGTAGTCTTTCTATTTCTTTTCGTGTTCTATATTTTTTTTTACTTCGACCTGGTCAGCGTTGCCCCCCGCACTCCCATCCAGTGGTTTGTACAAAATGGCGGCGTACAGCAGCGCGCAGGCAAACGCCTTTGCTCCGCACCGGCTTCATGATGTGAACGACGTAACAAAATATATATACCGGGCGAGCTGAAGGAACCCGTCTTGCTTTTTTGTTTCTCTGGCTTCCTCCCGAGCCGTAATACTTTTCACCTCCGGCGCCGGCACGGCAAAAAATATAGACGCGCCTTCCACTCGTACCAGTGCGCTTTTACTCCTCTCTAGTCGGTTTTCTTGCTTTTACTCCTCTTTAGTTGGTGTTTTTTTTTTTTTTTTGTTGTTACTCCCGCTTCGTCCGGCGCTACGGCAGTCTGTTACTCCCGCGCTCTCTCGAGTGGGCCCGAGCGAGACACGGCTGGACACCTCCAGCGAATACGCAACGGTGTTGGACAGTGCGTTAGTTCCGTCGGATCTACTGCCGCGTACCGCGCACGCGCGGCGAAAAGAAAGCGAACAGGCCGGACGTTTGTCCGCCATTGGCCGCGAGGAAACGACGCAACGGCGGGGACTCTACGACAGCCTGCGGCCTAAGGCGGACGGCATCCGGGAGCGCAGGGCGTGCAGTGTATGACGTCACAAAACACAGCTCCGCCTTCGCTCTCTAGCTCCGCCCGCGAGCTCAGCGTGCAGCTCCGCCCCCTCGTCTTCCGCGGGCCGGCCGCAAGAGCCGGTCAGTGCGGTGCCGGTAGCGGCTTTGAGTGCCCCGTGTTTCTCGGCCGTCTTCTGCCATGAAGAAGCCTGCCTCGTCTGCTGCCACCAGTGCCGCCGGCAACGCGGTGGATTTGGCTGCGCGCTGAAAACAAGCGTGTCACGCGGGACCGGCGATCGATTGTCAGCTCGCGCTACGTGCTGTGAACCCTCGAGGCAGGCGTTGTGTGTCGTCAGTTCCGCGCGCGCTGCGGCGGCGGGGTGATACGGCGACGTTTCGGATTTTGTGATTGCTCTCCCTCTGCGTACCGGCGCGCACGGCGGGGCGTGCGCCGCGGTGACCACTCGTGGATTTCCGTGAAGACCGGCCGCGCGCCGTTCGCGGCCTGTGGCGACCCCGCTGCAACAATGTCGTCCATGCTGGCCGGTGGCCCCAACATCCTGCAGATGTGCAGGTGAGCCTTGAGTTTTATTGCTCGGCTGCTTGGACACCGTTGACGTTTCGGGAACGTGATTACGTGTTTAGATGAGCTGCTTTTCATTTTTGTTTTCGAAGTTATCGAAAACGAAACAACTGAATGCCACACCGCCTCATATCAGCGAGAACAATGCCAAACTGCAAACTTCAAATTCCCATTTGCGGAGAAGCCGTGTCTCGTGTAACGAGGCTTTTACCATTTTTATGTATGCGAAACTTCAAACGTGAGAGTCGACACTAAAGAATATGTCCACATTGTGCAGTGCTATTTCAGACAAGCCGTCTTGTTTGTTTTGAGTTAAAGGCATATTTGTAACACCTGAGAAATTTCGGAAGAGGCACTTAGCTTTTTGTTTCTCCACTTTTGTGCAGATAAAAAATGCATAGTCGGTATTGTCTACACTCACATAAAGTACCAAAGCGCAATCACTAACGCAAAATTGGTTCTAATCTGAAAGAGGGCTGGATCACCACTTCAGCTTTCAACAATCTGCAAGTACCACATGTCCAGCTGCAGGTGCGGCTATGTGTAACACACGAAACAGTGCATTAGGTTCTGAATGCAGCAAGGTGTGAGGCCACATATATTTTCCTCCCTACGCCAGTACACACACCTTCGCACTTTGTGGGATAACCTACACCCCAATGTCTTCGTGGATACCCACCAACACATCTTCGATGACATCCATAAAGTTGCGTTGCCTGAATGTTCCTGTTATTCTTCTAAAAGTGTTCAACATGATACACTAACTTATTTCAGCAGTATCCAATTTTTTTCTTGAATATTATTATTTTACAGTATATAGTCCCTCCAGCCTATAGGGTTTTCAAACCAAGTTCACTATATACGAAATAAATACTGCAAACGGACGTCATGGATTGATCTGCATTATCACCGAAATATTATAAGGCATCTTCCGCTCCACACATTAAGCATACTCGTTCCAAGCACAATTACATTACTCGCATGTAATTACACAAACTTATACGATGTGTATCAACGATTGTAGACAACAAATATTAGTTTTTTCATCACTTTTCAATTAGGATACTTAAGGGACTGTAGTAAGAAATATTACAGTTTTTCCATATATTTTCAAAATATGGTTTGTAACTGAGAATACAATAAATCGTACCACCGGATGCATAATTTAATGAAATCTTTCAATTAAATATCAATATGAGCATATATGGTAACAAGTTTTTCTTCGGGATGTATATTGCGCAGGAATTCATTTTTTTTTCTGAAGAATCCTCCGTATATTTCTAGGAAAATCGTGCAGTGCCTTTACATATGTGTGAGGAACGTTCAAAGTGGGTGTACACTTTGCGTTGGTGTAGAATAAAATCGAAACAATGGTAAAGGTGCCCTCATTACAAATTCTTAAATAGGGTTGATATGCACGTGACAGTCTTCACAAAAAAAAATGGTGAAATAAATGCGTCTATTTTTTACGTTTATACAACATATGCAGTGCAAAATTGGTGAGTGTCGTCAGTCACCGATCATTTGTGAGGTTACAATTGAAACATTGTCGTACTTAAATTACTCCCGTATATCATGATTCGAGTCGCAGGTTGCGACACGTGTATTCAATTATTTTCAAGTGATTTTCTTTCTAAATGTTTGTCTGCGTGTTTACCGAATCTTTTCATAACCACTCTGTATTCTGCATTGCCAAGTCTAATATTTTAAGAAAAAAAAAGGAGCAGCAGAGAGTGGATTTTCTGCTTACGGCAAGAGCGAATTCCTGTATATACACGAAACATTTGGAATGTGAGTTCTGGCCGGCTATTTGGCCACAAAAAAAAAAAAACATGTCTTGGCAATCAAGCTCGTAGGATGGATGAAATTCGTAAAATACTCGTCTATCAGCTTAGGTCGACAGTTACGTATTGCACGGAAACGTCTTTACACATGTATACACATGCGCATAGAATAATCGCTCATATTCGACGCTGTAAGCAATAATGTTAAAAAAATGATAAATGCTCTCGCAAATGTCAGATTTTCTAAAAAAAAACTGTATAACAGGCTTGCCTACTGTCCCTATCACAAATTTAGGGCACAGCACCACTTCCCCAAAAAAATCACGAAGCACAGCGTCAAGGTAACTTAAATGCACGGTCTAAGGAAAGTTACTGTGAGGAGGTTCGTTTTGATGATTACCAATTCAAAGTATAGATAATGTGCGACGTTCTACATTCTGTCTTCACAGCGTATCTACAATAAAAGTGAGTTGCTGAACAATAGGTGTCATACTGCTACTATATATTAGATACCAGCCAATTGCATGTTAAGAAAATTCGAGGGGGAATTTTAAAATATTCGAATCACTTTTCATTTTTTATGGCATAATTTTTTTGAAAGAAGTTGTTTTTTCACATATTCCTAGTCATACTGAATACTTGCGATCTAGTGGTGCTCCATACGCTTACAACTTCGCAAGAGGCAGTACTATACATGTTCAGCATGACTACTCCACATGGCCTATGAGGACGTTTATGTGTAGATAATAACTGACTTTCCAATGATTGTTCAAACTGGTTAAGTTCATATTGGTTAGGCGAGTAGTTAGTGAACATTTCTTGCCAACAGTGTCACTTGAAGATTATAGTATAGTAAAATTGATTGTGTCATTTAGCTGGTGTTTCTTTTCGGAACATCTGAAAAACTGCTTCCTTCAACATTTACGAACAAACTCTTGAGATGTTCCTATCGACAATGTGCTACGTGATGCATTATTTTGAAAACCGAAACTCGTGTACTGCTTCTTGGCCTACAGTGCATGATTGATGTTATCACACAGATCGGCGAACTGTGCCGAATAAACTGCATCAATCGCATGACGAACTGCAAAAGCTGGGTATTGTTCAGTCAAGCGAAATTTTCTTAACGTTGCTGGTATATAAACATGCATAGTAGCTGTATACAGAGAAGTCTCCCTTTCTCGAGGTGAAAGCCGACACCAGATTTATTTTCAGTTTAATAACAGACCTCAAGGTCACGGTAAACTTGCAGGGCAGTTTTATTAAGAGACACAAACAAACATCCATATATCACATGCATGTGGCTCACTGTTGCCTGGAACGAGTCAGACTATATTTTGTTGCTTCATTAAGCCTATTTCAATAACTAACTTTCAACAACGAAAATGCACCAGAAGTACCAATGCGAAAGTCATAGATCGTTTCGCAAAACGTCCGATAAGACTAACTCTGTATCTTTTAAGTATTAGTGTTATTTGCTAACTACAAATGCCCGCGAAATAAAAAAAAAAGATACTATGTGACAACCCCGCTTCCGCGTCGCTGTGTACGGTGATTCTAGTGCACTCTAGCGTTCATCGTTCATCCGCGTACGAATGGCCATAGAGCATTTGTCCTACTGTGCTGTCTCGGCAGGGCTGTGACAATGGTGGCTTCGTGATGAAGACATTTTGCTAGCGGCCAGAAAAGCGATAACCGCTGTGCCTGCTTATCGCTGGCATGAACCGTTGCGAGGAAAGCGAGTCGTTCGTATTCGCTGAACTGATGATATGTGGAGTTTACGTCCCAAAACCACCATATGATTATGAGAGACGCCGTAGTGGAGGGTTCCGGAAATTTCGACCACGTGAGGTTCTTTAACGTGCACTCAAATCTGAGCACATGCGCCTACAACATTTCCGCCTCCATCGGAAATGCAGCAGCCGCAGCCGGGTTTTGATCCCGTGACCTGTGGGTCAGCAGCCGAGTACCCTAGCCACTATACCACCGTGGCGGGGCTATTCTCTGAACGTTAGGGAGCACCTGATTCAGGCCGCGCGTAGGTGCACCAGTCGATTTCTCACGCGATACTTTTTTGTAATGCGCCGGCGTTTGTAATTCGTGGAGAAACGCTAATAATTAACAAATGCAATCAAATGGTCTAATCGGCCGTGTTGCGCAACTTTCTCATTCAATTTTTTACTCACCTTCCTTCTTTCAAAAGTTTATTGTTAATTACGTACGCCTAATTAAATATTATTGATACCACTAAAAACGTCTTAATCACTCCAGGCGACGGTAAGCAAATACATTTGATTGCGTCGTCATTGCGCGTGTAGGCATATTTGCAAACGATCAAAACACGTTGCTGGGGTACCCTGCGCACACACACACACACACACGTATATATATATATATATATATATATATATATATATATATATATATATATATATATATATATATATATATATATATATATATATATATATATATATATATATATATATATATATATATATATATATATATTCAGTCACTCTTTCTCACGTGGTAGAAGTTTCGCGGTGCGTCACTATTTAGTTGTTTTCGATGTCTTATATTTTTAAAAAGAAAAATTATTTTTCCTCAATATTATGGCGCAGCTTGTTCCGTATGAATGTTACATGCGACTTGTCGCGTCCAACCAACGAAAATATGCTGCCAATGTCAATAATGCTATACGTGAGAAAGCGTCGCTTCCTCGGATCACATGAATAGTCCTGTGTTAGTGTTTATAGTCCAATACTAACGTGGTTTCTCTGTTAAGATGAAGACAGAACAGCTTTCTCGCGTCGCGACTTGCTCAATATCGGTGCATTCCACAATTGCAGAAGAAGCGACGAAAACGACACACTTAGTTTGTGTCGTGTTCCTTCTTACTGTAATTTTCACACAAATCGCCTTATTTTCTGCTAATAATAGTGGAGGACGATATTGAATGTGAATCACGTAAAAGTGAAAATTAACTGTTTTTAACAAACTGCTGCGTTTTTAATACACCTGTCTTATGTTCGTTTGTATTTTTACCTTAAACGTGGCGAAAACAAAAAATAGAAAATTGTTTTTTTTTCAAACAATATTTATCAAGAGTGATTCTTAAATTGCGCAATATTTTAGGTACTTCTTCGTTCAAAGGGATTGATTCATATGTGGGGCTTAACGTCCCAAAACCACCATACGAACATG